GCTGGTTCTTCCTTAGCCAATCAGGATGAACATTGCAAGTTCATATACAGTGAAAATCATTCTACAAATAAATCTGCAAGACCGCGAAAAGAGAATCACTATTCAGCTGAGGAGACTCCGATTCAGAATAAAAAATAACACATTTTTCCTGTACGGACGTTTCTGATTTGGTATTTGTAAGTAATTTTTTTACTGTCATCATGTTTTAGATTATAGATTAGACAGTGAGCCAGATCAGATATATCCCAATGAAAATAATGTTTTTGCACTTTATGATGTGAGAATTGTATACATGCATGTGTAAGAAAATTGAGGGGGGGATATCCCCCCCTTGGGCCATGGCTAGGGGACTGATCCCCCCCATCCCCCCCTCTGGAGGAAACCCTGCATGTTGTTTGACCCAAGCATAAAGCATTTTAAAGCATCTTGTGTTGGTACCATTTTGTGAACCAGTTAGATATACTGTACATAATGAACGGCCTTTGAAATGACCATAGTATTTTATGGATACATTTGTTTATCATTAAAACAATAATAATACATATGTTTTGAAGCAAATGTAAGTTTGTCTTTTATCTATGAAACTGACCAAAAACAGAAAAAAAAAATATATTATGAAAATATGATTATGTATGCATCTGCAAATATGTCAAATAAGAGGACAAAACAAAACAATGGAAAGCATGAATTTATTGATCAAATTTAATGTTGATTAATCATGTAAACACTATAAATTTGTCATTTTTCTATTTGTTTCATCTTTCCTGAGTTTATCTTGCGTGTTTACTCTTCAGGAAATGCCTGTGTGCCAAGAATCCCTTGACAAGTTCTCGCAGCAGACTGTAAAAAGAAAATACACCTCAAAGAGCTTCACAGCGGCACTAACGGGGCCATGGATTCAGAGCATGATTTATTAGAAGATGAAGTGCATCAGAGGTTCTGAGCCTAGGGTCCCAAGGCCAATAGGACTGCCTTATCAAACACCAGCAGGCTCCATGGCCAATCTCCAGCTCCCACCAGCCGCTGCTCTGCCTCTGATAAAAGTCAGATGGCAGATCTACAGGGCATTTCAACAACCGAAGAGCTTTCATTTGACCAAATCAAGTTCATGTCTACTAATTAACTATGATTGCAAATGGAGGTGGCCAAAAGTATATTGAATAATTAATAACATCCTAATAATTACTTCAATATGATCATTGAGGATATGCAAAATCTTAATTACATTTCCAGGAAATGACAAAACACCTGATTGAGAAAAAATATGTAGAATCTTTGAACACACATACAGTGAGTACAGCTCAAATCTTGTGTTTTTACGAGGCATGCAAGAAGATTTTGCCATGTTCTTCAGTAAACTCATCCAAAAACTGATTTCATCACAATGTAATCTACAATCTACTGATACAAAAATGCAGTAATGGACAAGCTGCTTGATCTGTGTAGTGAGCTAAGATACAAGCTACTCTACAATAAATTCAGCTTCACTACACAGAAGCTACCACCCATACAAATGTAGCAAGCTAAGTTACAAAATCCTGTCAAAAGTAGCTTGATATGTATACTGTAAACCCCTTATTTTTTCAGCTTATTTGTATTTAGTAATAATTACTAAAAATAACTAGTTTTAATAATTCTCAGTGGAGAACTAAAGAAGCTGTGCTGTATTTACATGTAAATCCCAGTCCTGACTGCACTCAGGGCTCTGTGCTCTCACAGCAGAACATGTTAGGTTCTTACAGGTGAGGGGGCGGGGCGTACGTGTGGGGGCGGGGCTTAGCCACTGTTCAAATCTCAACCGCCACAGTCTCCAGGCTCCAGCAAAACCAACTGTCTCCTCCTGTGGTAAGTCCAATAACATGTTTTTCACTGCATATTATTCACTAATCCAACTAGAGGTTCTATCAATCACAGTATTTTAACTTTGCAATGAAAGTTTGCTTCAAAGTACAACCAGCTTCTGTTAGCCGGTTAACTACGTTAGCTTGTACAGCTGATTTCACTTGACAGTTCAAAACACACCATAGTTCACATATAACTGACAAAACAACACTGTGTTATCTTTTCCAGGTGCCAGAGCTGATCGCAGCAAATTAATTTATTGTTTCCCAATGTTTTCATCTGTTGACTGAAGATGGAGGATATTCAGGTAAGAGCTGTGATTCTCCCTCAAATGTTCTGGTGGTTTTAGGTGTGTTTAGCATTGACTGTAACAATAACCAAAGTGTGTTTCCTCAGACACAGGGCCAGGGGCAGAATTTAGGATGTGCAGCGGAGACTAGTTTTACATAACGTAAGTATTTCACAGTTTTGATTGTTTAATACATGAGATATTATGACTTTGTTATTTTGTTCATTAAGAGCAGAAAAAAGCTTCACTTTTGTTGTCAAATATATTATTTGTGATGTCATTTTACTGAACATGTGTTTCTTATGTGTTTGTTTGGACAGGTGTGTCACGTCTGCATCTGAACAGTGCTGGTCTCTTCTCCTGCTTATGGTTTCAAATATCTGTCTTTCAATAAAAAGACATTAAACATCCATTGGTTTCATTATTTTTCGATTAATACAATACGTTACAAAATATATAAAACATTAGGTAATAAATATGCTAGTAATTAAGTAATTAAATTATTATAATCAATGTCAGTTTAGTGATGATGGCATAAGATTCTGAGTAATGCTGTGCTAAAGCTAAGTAAACTGGTAATCATTACTAGAGTTAATCAGTGATTGTTCTGCAAAAACTAAAGATTCTAAATTAACATGACATAAAGCTTTAAGTTTTTGATTTTGTAAAAACTTAAAATCTTTGTTGCAATCGGTTACCCAAAACGCCTTTAGTAATGATAACTAGTTCGGGTTTACAGTGAGCTTCTCTCAGTTAAACAAACTGCAGTCCATGCAATTTTAGTGATAAATACAAGTGACAGTCAGATAAAGGTTAAAATGTGGATATTTATTGAACGATAGCCCAAAACACCAACGACAAAACAAGAAGGCCTTTTGCAATTGTAAATAAAATACATTGAGAAAATACAGCAATAAGCCATTACAAATTAACATGTATCTCATTAGAACTGCATTGCACGTAACAAATGTGAATCCGAGCCAATTAATGACTCTATTTAAGCTAGAATACCCTCTAAATGAAAAGAAAAACACATATATATAAGTTTACAAATGAACTGTGCTAAGAACTATGTCTGACCAGTTTAGGAAAACAATCGTAACAACCATCATAAAACCTTATCATCAGTCACAGAGGAACTTTCTCTGGGATTACGACGTAGGCATCTGAAAACATATTTCTTTTCGCTCATCTCGACTAAAGTGACGTACTTTTGGAGGTATTGCCACGGTAACAGTTTGAGAGTCCTTTGCGACCACGGGAGAGTCCAGGGCTCTCTGCCGTCCTGTCACTTCCCTCCAGCAGCGCGCGTGCATGTGTGTGTGCGCGTGCATGTGTGTGCGCGTGTATGTGTGTGTGTGGGCGTGCATGTGTGTGTGCGCATGCATGTGTGTGCGCGTGTATGTGTGTGTGTGGGCGTGCATGTGTGTGTGCACGTGCATGTGTGTGCGCGTGTATGTGTGTGTGTGGGCGTGCATGTGTGTGTGCACGTGCATGTGTGTGTGGGCGTGCATGTGTGTGCGCGTGTATGTGTGTGTGCGCGCGTGCATGTGTGGGTGGGCGTGCATGTGTGTGTGGGCGTGCATGTGTGTGCGCGTGTATGTGTGTGTGTGCGTGCATGTGTGTGTGTGCGTGCATGTGTATGTGTGCGCGTGCGTGTGTGCGCGCGTGCATGTGTGTGTGCGCGTGCATGTGCGTGTGCATGTGTGCGTGCGTGCATGTGTGCGTGCGTGCATGTGTGTGTGCGCGTGCATGTGTGTGTGTGCGCGTGCATGTGTGTGTGCGCGTGCATGTGTGTGCGCGTGCATGTGTGTGTGTGCGCGTGCATGTGTGTGCGCGTGCATGTGTGTGTGTGCGCGTGCATGTGTGTGTGTGCGCGTGCATGTGTGTGCGCGTGCATGTGTGCGTGTGCGCCGTCACCAAGGCCTGCACATTAGCATTCTGTCTTCCTAATTTGTTTGTTTTGGCTGCGGGAAAATTCTGTAGTATAAGAACATCAGAAATGTCCGTGAGAAAATGACTTGAGGACGCTACCGCGCTACATGCTCAATAAAATAGCTTAGCTACAGACTACTGTACTTGGTTTTGTAAATAGTGAAGCTACCATCAAGCTACTGAAAAATGTAGTTAAGCTAGTGCTGTTGCTACTTAAAGTGATAGTGTGTAACTTTAAATGAATTACAAATTTTAAGAATTGTATTAAATTGACCTCCTGGCCTTAAATAATGATATAAAATAAGTCATTTTATGAATTCTAATATTACAGTTAAGTCCCGCCTTTCCTGCTCTTAGCTATAGCTCAGAATCCACGGTGCCGTCGAGGTTAACCAATCGAGTCATGCCAAGGGCTGTCAATCATCGGCGCTGATGACATATGCCTTGGAATCCAAGGTCGTACGCCCAATGAGTTAGAGTTTATGCTAAACGAAGACATGGAACTAATGGCTGAGTACCTCATTAAGTGGCGGCTCCAGCCAAGTGCCACAAAAACACTATCCAGTGTCTTTCATTTGTACAATGCAAAGGCCCGCCTTGAGTTAAACGTCTACCTAAAGGGGCAACGGATCAAGCATGACCCAAACCCAGTTTACCTGGGCGTTACCTTGGACAGATCGCTGACATATCACGAGCATCTGAAGAAAACAGCAGCGAAGGTCAGCACTCGGAACAATCTGCTCAGTAAACTAGCTGGGACAAGCTGGGGTGCGAGTGCCCAGACATTAAAAACTACGGCACTTGCGTTGTGTTACTCGACGGCTGAATACTGTTCTCCAGTTTGGTCAAGATCGTCCCACACCAGGCTAGTTGACATACAACTAAACACGTCTATGCGCACCATCACCGGAACGCTACGCTCTACTCCACTACCATGGCTCCCGGTACTCAGCAACATCCCACCACCACACCTTCGTCGAAAGGAAGCAACAGCCAAGCTATTGGCCAAGGTCCGTACAGACGTTCGAATCCCTCTCAATGCGGATATCACGTCACACCCAGTAGCGCGCCTTACTTCGAGACATCCAGTCTGGCTAGATTCACCGCCAGAGGATTGGACAGCCATTTCGGCATGGAGTGCCGAGTGGTCAACAGCAGATGCTGTGAACCGCTCCCTCGTAGCCGAGCCATCTGCCCGCCCTCCCGGCTTCGACCTGCCACGACAACAATGGAAGACGCTGAACCGGTTCCGAACAGGTCAAGGTCGCTGCGCGACAAACCTTGTCCGTTGGGGTCAAGCCATTGACCCAACATGTAGCTGTGGTGCTCCAGAGACTATGGCACACATTGTGAACGACTGTCCACTGACTCATTTTACCGGTGGACTACCGGCCCTACACCTTGCTGAAGAAGATGCTGTTCTATGGCTAAGCACGCAAAGCAAACGCTAAAGAAAAGAAAGAATCATCGGCGCTGATGCTCGTAGCTGCTCATGCTCAGTTGTTTGTTTTCGCGAAGCCTCAGAATCAAGCCTCTATTTATATATGAACCTATATCCATAATCATTTATATATGAACCTATATCCATAATCATTTATATATGAACCTATGTCCATAATCATTTATATATGAACCTATGTCCATAATCATTTATATACTGAACCTATATCCATAATCATTTATATATGAACCTATATCCATAATCATTTATATACTGAACCTATATCCATAATCATTTATATATGAACCTATATCCATAATCATTTATATATGAACCTATATCCATAATCATTTATATATGAACCTATATCCATAATCATTTATATACTGAACCTATATCCATAATCATTTATATACTGAACCTATATCCATAATCATTTATATATGAACCTATATCCATAATCATTTATATACTGAACCTTTATCCATAATCATTTATATACTGAACCTATATCCATAATCATTTATATACTGAACCTATATCCATAATCAGATCCTCTGCAGATGTGTCCTATAATGTTCAATCAATGAAAATAGCTACTTCCTGGTTTGCCGCGATCACTTTTTGTGTGCATTAAAACACTATTTTTTTCATGAAAACGTTAACATATCATTCTGAAAACCTCCGTGCATGTGTATTAATAATGCATAAGTATAATGTGTTCTCTGATTAACATCAGATCAGATTCAGATTCATTTATTTGCCATTTGCAGTAAAACCACATTGGAAAAACTGTGCAAGACTACCCCGGTGTGCGCCAGACAGAGAAGGCGACACACACCAGAGCTCTTGCCACGGCGCCATCTTTCCGGCGCCATGCGACAAACAGTAGAATAAACAGCAGAGAGCAATAACATTCAGGTTACAACAGACAGTTGGATAGAAAACATTGTGCTTTGTATAAACCACGGATTTTTTTCTCGGGATGAGCACCTCCGGCTGCCGGTCCAATGTGGCTGTCAGAGGGGGGCGGGGTCAGGGAGGGGGTGAGTCGGAAACACATTGAGGAGTGGAGGGGAGGGAGAGATCAGAGGGAGGCGGGGGGAGCGGGATCCAAGCTGGAACTGACTGAAAGAGTGTGAATTGTTGTAGAGACCAGATTTATTAATATGGCCTTGGCCCGAGGAATGTGAGATAAGAGTGGGGAGAAGACACAGCAAGGAGAAAACACATCTTCCTGTAACGAGGGACAATATAGTATGCATTTTAGCAGTCAAAAACAGGCAGATATTCTATTAAATCCAATTAAACCGAATTACGGCGCCCTCAGACCCCGTACACAGGGGCAAATCCAAGCCGGGTCAGAGAGTTCAAGCGTGACACACAATGTCATTCAATCTCAATTCCAGAGTTTTATGCCCATCGAGTGAACGAGCTGCGAGATCTTTGATCAACTGTTCCACTAACACCACTCTCCTTTGTCCAGACACGGCGCTCTCAACCACGACTCGGTTAAGCTCCTTGTACATCCCATCAATTTTGTTGGCCAGCAGGTCGTGAATCTTGCGAACTGCCATGCCTCCGAATTTGTGGTAGAAGAGAACCGCTCCAAACCCAAACAGGAGGATCCCCACCACCAAAAAGCCAAAGATATATACGTCTTCCGAATCTTCAATGGACAGGGTCGACAGACAGAGGGGCTGCCACTTGTTCCAGCTGTCAAGCGTATAACCCGCTGGTGAAGTCCCGTCCGGGCACTCGGGCTCTCCAGACCCACGCTTACGTGTTGAAAAGATAGAATCAATTGCGTTGAGGGACCAATTTACCATTTCCATTCTTGCTAAAAGTGGTCTGTGGCAAAACTCCAGGAAAAAGACAAAAACAGGAGATAGCAAGCAGTCAGAAGCAGGAGCGTCTGAGACACGTCTATGCTCGACGGAGGCGGAAGAGAGAACATTTAAATGTGTTACGGAAACGTAGGCGTAGACCAATCAGAAAGGAAGGGGTCGTTTTTTTCAAATCAAGTACCTCTCTTTCTCTTTCTGACAAACTCCAGACAATCACTTTAAGCGATGCTACTGCCCATCACTCAACACTCAACAAGATGACTGTTGTTGTAATTTTGGGAGATTCAAAAATTATCCATTGAAGATTTTCTATTTTAAAAAGGGCAAACATTTCCTGGGTGTTCGCTGTTGAAATCAATGCATAAAACACATACTGTGGGTAAAAAGTTATTAACATTTATATAAACATTATAGTGGCTGAGAAGATAGCACTCTTGCTTCTGAGCAAGAAGGGCCTGGGTTTAAATCCTGGTTGAAACAGGGCCTTTCTGAAATGTCCATGTTCCCCCTGTGTCTGCGTTGGTTTCTTCCTGTTTTACGGTGTCTTCCTGCCACTAAAAACTCCAGACACTAAAAACACTAAATCCTCCATCTCTGGTAGTCCTTACCCAGCCAAGCATCAATATCAGCTCAATGCCCTAATAGCATTGCAGGAGGGGTCAATTGTAGAGGTCACATGCCCTACAGAGATATATTATACTGTATACCTTAACCTTAATAATGCCTTGTGTGAAAACATAATGGCCTATTTCATACTACTTTGTTGTTACAGAACTGCATTGACAAGATTACATCAAAACCACATCTATAATACCTCTTCAGCTCGACAGACTAACTTAACCTGGTGCATTAAGCTCATTTTATGCTTCACTGTCCATAAGTGCCATACACCTGACAGTGCTGATCCAAGGCCAACTGTGCGGTCCCCAAAGGCCTAATCAAAGATGACTGACTTCACACACGCCACACTGGTAACATGCAGGTCAAGGGGATGGGCCAGCCCTCTGTAATTATCTCCCCCATGTCTTAAATGTTTTGAGAATGTTACTTGATGGACTATGAAACCAGTTCAGCTCCATTGGCAAGATATGCTATTAATCATTCTCTTGTGATTTAATTAATTCAATTCATTATGGCATTAGTGGATATTTGATTTCCATTAATGACGACAGGCTTGACAGAATAAGTACGACTTGATGTTTGAGTGGATGCTTTCTTTATTGCAATTTCAAGGTCGGGCAGAGGGACAACTGGAGCAAAAGCATGCAAAGATGCATTGCCAGTCAGGCAAATTAAATTACATACAATCAATAAAGTGAATTCATAGAACGATTGCATAGATGCCTGCTTCCAGCTGCTTTACAAGTCTTTAAAGAGCGACTAAACATCTGTGCCCAGCCTTACTCCGCCCACATGAAGATTTGAAAATTTTCTCTAAAAAGGGCGTTGCCTGGAGGACCAAGGGACAAGAAGGGGGGCTTAGAGTTGGGCGTGGTCTGGCTGTGATTGACAGCTCACTTGTCACGCACAAAAAAAACAGACAGTTGTCATTGCTGCTTAAAGCAATAGTTTACAGACCAGAAAGTCTCATTCCACCCGTGTTTACACACTAAGATAATTGTAAAGCTACACACCTGAACCTAATCACACTCAATAATCTCAGAATGACTCATGTAATTTAATTTTAATCCACTAGATGGCGCCAGAATACTCCAAACTGCAGCTGGGCGTGTGTGAGAGTTGAATGGGTTCACATCACTGGCTCTGACAGACTGACGTCACACAAAACAACTGATGTCATAGAGAACTTCAGAGTCAATGGAGAGGCCAGAACCAAATTCAAATGTAGTACCACCAAAAAGGTTGAGAGGGCGCCACACAGCGTTTTTTGGCTCAAAAGTGATATTTTATCTAATTTGAACTAAAATGTCAAAAAAATGACCAGGATATGTAGACAGCACTACAATAAACATACTTATGCAGTTTATGAGTTAAAAAAAGTTGATTTGGTGTTTAGTCGCTCTTTAATATAAAAAGAAGAGATGTGACAGATGAGTTAGTTGGGCCTGCAGGGAAACACCAGACAGAGTAAGATGTCAGGATGATAGTCTGAAAATATTTCTGTGCAAACACAAGGATACAAAAAGTCACAAATGAGACCATCTTGGGAGGTAAACTGTCTGCAGCGCTGTCCATCAACACAAACTGTACTGCCAAACAAACTGACTCAGCAAAAAACATGTAGCAGTTAGAAGGGGTATAATAATATATAGTCTCTCTCCGGGCATAACTAAGATCAGTAGGATTTTCTGGAGGAGAATAGATAAACCAATAACAAATGGCCTTAAGTATTTGAATTGAGGTCAGGTCAGGTCAATCGGATGAGCATGGGTGGATCTAACCAAAACAAAAGGTTTCACTCTCTCTACACAATTTCAGACGTAACTTGACATTCATTTTAAATAACCAAAAGAATGGCCAACATTTATATAATCTAAGTTTCATGATTCTAAAGCAACAGCAACAGAAGAAGAAGCGGATAAGGCGAAGATCCACAGAAGGAATGCTAACTTCTTGAAAAATGCTAATTAAGCATCCAGCCTTTTACTTTGGACTAGAGCAGAGAAAATGGTACAAACCAAGTGGCTACTCCACCTCTGCTGCTGTGACCTTTTTACAATTTCATTATTACCATTGTTAGATTTTTAGAATGATAAATGTATTTGTATTGTTTGTGTGGATGGATGTGTTTTTGCAACTACTGGAAACCTGAATTTCTCCTACGGGTATCAATAAAGAATCTATCTATTTATCAATCTATCTATCTATCTAATTGAACCAGAGCTGGAGAGATTCCACTCAAATACACATCAAAGGGTTAAATCTATCCAATTTGTCAGCTCCTTGTTCTCGCCGCTAATTAAATACATTACAACGCAATAACTAATCAAGTCCTGCAGTTTTCAAGGCCAGGACTAATGGCAGCTTTCTCCTTAATCTCCCACTCAGTCAAACATG